GGTGAGATCCTCCGACATGATCACTCCCAGGTCTTTGACGTTGGTGTTTCGCTCTATTTTGTGGCCAGGATTTGTTTTGTACTCTGCACCTTTGCAACCCCTTCTCATACAGTAAATATACCTTTACCTTTGATATACCTTTACCTTTGATGAGTTTCGAGGTCTCTACTCCCGGAGCCCGGCCGTGAGCCAGGCTCGTCTGGTGCTTGCCAGATCAACCCAAAATTTTTAAGCAATGTGCACTAAGTGGCTTCTGGGGGCCCCTCCGGGATTAGGGGCCCTGAAGCTTAAGCTTCATTACTTTAATAGTAGATCAGCCCCAGGTAATCAGTCCGTCACCCTTGAAGACAGTTTTCAGGTGATCAGTCCCCTGACCACTACGTCTTCAAGGCCAATGGACTGATTACCTCGTCTTCACATCTCTACTGCTTCAGTTGCCACCTCTGTACCCGACTGAAGAAGCCAACTGTATAGGCGAAACGTTTCGGAATGAAGGTACCTAACTATTGCATATGTATGTTACCAATTTCTCGGTATTGTATACCATTATCACATTCACAATACACAACCCGTACATAAAAAGAAACGGTGTTTCGGTCCCACTTGACCAATGACAACGTTTCGGTCCCACTTGGACCATTAACTAGCCAGAAAAACGCTAGTATGTGATTGTTGCATCTCTGGGAATTGCTAGTGTTGATTCTGAGGACATGTACATAACCTTCACGACTACGACAACTAACCCATCTCTTTGGGTAGGACCTACTTCCACTGGGGAATCCCGCCTACCAGTGACTGTGCCCTCGTCTGCTACCCGTCCCATTTCCACCTGACGTTACTATATAAGCGCCAGGCGCCTTGCTTCTGCTTCAGCTTAGCAGTTGGGTCTAGTCCTGACTCTTCTCTCTTCGACTCAAGACATTCCTCTCACCGTCTATTCTTCGCACTGTCCCCACTTGCCCCTCGCCCCTCTCCCCTCGTGGGTCCTTACCTGCGAGTCCTATCGTATCGTATCGTCTGCTTCAGAATCTCCACGACTATGGTGCTCTTCGCACCTACTCCTAGGTTGAGGGACTGATTACCTCATCTTCTGTACATAGTTCTACTATCTTCAAGTTATGTCCTGGAATTTGTATTGTTAAAGCCACTGGATGGCGAAACGTCTACAATAAAGATACCCAGATGTTGTACATGCTTGTACAATTACTAGTCACTGTGTAGCCTCACTGCTGTTGTTTATATGGTGTAATAACACTAGTAGCTGATAAATTAGACACATGTGCAACTCGTGGGTATCTTTATTGAGGAAACGTTTCGCCACACAGTGACTTCATCAGTCCATACCGAGGAGAAACTTGAAGAACAGGAGAAGAATGAGGTAATCAGTCCCTCAACCTTGAGTCGATGTGGTCAGTCCATCAATCTTGAATAGAATGCGGCGTATGAGCAGAGATAAAATGTGACACCACCTACGACTGCTGCACCTCTCCTGCCTACAGTATATAAGCTGCTTCTCCGCTCATACGCCGCATTCTATTCAAGATTGACGGACTGACCACATCGACTCAAGGTTGAGGGACTGATTACCTCATTCTTCTCCTGTTCTTCAAGTTTCTCCTTTGTATGGACTGATGAAGTCACTGTGTGGCGAAACGTTTCCTCAATAAAGATACCCAAGAGTTGCACATGTGTCTAATTTATCAACGTGTCGGTTCACTGAACCATTCATCTACAACACTAGTAGCTGTTGTTTATATGGTAACGTCAGATTAACTTTTATGTTACACTAGCGAGGGGAGGATGTTGGGGAGAGTGAGGGGGAAGGTACTGGGGAGAGTGAGGGGGGAAGGTACTGGGGAGAGTGAGGGGAAGGTACTGGGGAGAGTGAAGGGGGAAGGTACTGGGGAGAGTGAGGGGGGAAGGTACTGGAGTAGGGGGGAGGTATTGGGGGGGAAATGAGGGGGAAGGTACTGGGGAGAGTGAGGGGGAAGGTATGGGGATAGTGAGGGGGAAGGTACGGGGGAGGTGAGGGGGAAGGTTACTGGGGAGAGTGAGGGGGAAGGTACTGGGGAGAGTGAGGGGGAAGGTACTGGGGAGAGTGAGGGGGGAAGGTACTGGGGAGAGTGAGGGGGAAGGTACTGGGGAGAGTGAAGGGGGAAGGTACTGGGGGAGAGTGAAGGGGGAAGGTACTGGGGGAGAGTGAGGGGGAAGGTACTGGGAAGAGTGAAGGGGGAAGGTACTGGGGGAGAGTGAAGGGGAAGGTACTGGGGGAGAGTGGAGGGGGTACTGGGGAGAGTGGGAGGGGGTACCAGAGAGGGGAGGGGTACTGGGGAGAGTGGGAGGGGTACCAGAGAGGGGAGGGGTACTGGGGAGAGTGGGAGGGGTACCAGAGAGGGGAGGGGTACTGGGGAGAGTGGGAGGGGAAGGTACTGGGGAGAGTGGGAGGGGAAGGTACTGGGGAGAGTGGGAGGGGGAAGGTACTGGGGAGGGTGAGACGGGTACCAGAGAGGGGAGGGGGTGCTGGGGAGAGTGGGAGGGGTACCAGAGAGGGGAGGGGTACTGGGGAGAGTGGGAGGGGAAGTTACTGGGGAGGGTGAGAGGGGTACAGAGAGGGGAGGGGTACTGGGGAGAGTGGGAGGGGTACCAGAGAGGGGAGGGGTACTGGGGAGAGTGGGAGGGGTACCAGAGAGGGGAGGGGTACTGGGGAGAGGGGAGGGGTACTGGGGAGAGTGGGAGGGGTACCAGAGAGGGGAGGGGTACTGGGGAGAGTGGGAGGGGTACCAGAGAGGGGAGGGGTACTGGGGAGAGTGGGAGGGGTACCAGAGAGGGGAGGGGTACTGGGAGAGAGTGGGAGGGGTACCAGAGAGGGGAGGGGTACTGGGGAGGGTGAGAGGGGTACCAGAGAGGGGAGGGGGTACTGGGGAGAGTGGGAGGGGTACTGGGGAGAGTGGGAGGGGTACCAGAGAGGGGAGGGGTTACTGGGGGAGGGTGAGAGGGGTACCAGAGAGGGGAGGGGTACTGGGGAGAGTGGGAGGGTACCAGAGAGGGGAGGGGTACTGGGGAGGGTGAGAGGGGTACTGGGGAGGGTGAGAGGGGTACCAGAGAGGGGAGGGGTACTGGGGAGAGTGGGAGGGGGTACCAGAGAGGGGAGGGGTACTGGGGAGGGTGAGAGGGGTACCAGAGAGGGGAGGGGTACTGGGGAGAGTGGGAGGGGTACTGGGGAGAGTGGGAGGGGGTAAGGAGAAGTGAAGTTTTAATAGGAAAAGTTGTGTGACAGAACTTGGCGCTATCAGTTTTGACAGAAAAGTTTTGTTTTGGAGTTCGTGTGCTGGGGCGAGGAGGGGGGAGGGGGGGGTGGGTGGAGTTAGGTAAGGAAGAGGGGAGGGGGTGGTGATGGGTGGAGTTAGGAAGGAAGAGGGGAGGTGGTGGGTGGGTGGAGTTAGGAAGGAAGAGGGGAGGTAGTGGATGGGTGGGGTTAGGAAGGAAGAGGGGAGGTGGTGGATGGGTGGAGTTAGGAAGGAAGAGGGGAGGTGGTGGATGGGTGGAGTTAGGAAGGAAGAGGGAGGTGGTGGATGGGTGGGGTTAGGAAGGAAGAGGGGAGGTGGTGGATGGGTGGAGTTAGGAAGGAAGAGGGGGAGGTGGTGGATGGGTGGAGTTAGGAAGGAAGAGGGGAGGTGGTGGAGTTAGGAAGGAAGAGGGGAGGTGGTGGAGTTAGGAAGGAAGAGGGGAGGTGGTGGATGGGTGGAGTTAGGAAGGAAAAGGGGAGGTGGTGGAGTTAGGAAGGAAGAGGGGAGGTGGTGGATGGGTGGAGTTAGGAAGGAAGAGGGGAGGTGGTGGATGGGTGGAGTTAGGAAGGAAGAGGGGAGGTGGTGGATGGGTGGAGTTAGGAAGGAAGGAGGGGAGGTGGTGGTGGATGGGTGAGGTTAGAAGGAGGGGTGGTGAGGTTAGGAAGGAAGAGGAGGGGAGGTGGTGGATGGGTGGAGTTAGGAAGGAAGAGTGGAGGTGGTGGAGTTAGGAAGGAAGAGGGGAGGTGGTGGTGGATGGGTGAGGTTAGGAGGAGGGGTGGGTGAGGTTAGGAAGAAAGAGGGGAGGCGAGAGACAGGTGGGTGGGGGACTGTAGGTATATGTAGTGGTATACCTGTATACTTAGTTTCCTTCCCTACCCACAGGTATACCCAGGCTGCCGCTGCTTCATTAGTTTTTATTACTCTAAATGACGTAGCTGATTTTCCAGCATATCTTTGCATTTCAATACCACAATAATAATTAAGGAGTTGGTTCTAGAGACTTTTTTTTTTTTTTTTTTTGCTTTAACTTGTGTAGTCAAGATTTGAGATGTTTTGCTAGATCAACCAGGCTGTTGTTTGGTACCCCTCAAAGGAGGTTCTTTGATGTTGGTGAGGCTCTTGATATAGGCAATTGGATCTGTGCTCCAGTTCCCTGAATACCTTTCATCCCCCTCCCCCCCACAGGCACTGTATAATCCCTACAGGTTTAGCGCTCTCCATGATAATAAATAATAATGTTCAGTATTTAGTACTGTTCAGGTACAATACTTCTGCCATGGTCCATGTGGTATCACAGTGCCCCTGCTTTTCAGTGGCTCAATTTTACACATCCTCCCACTGGAAATTTTGTGCGTCCACCCAGTGGAAATACTAAGTCACTTCGACTCGTTTTTGCTTATCCTGGGTAATTTACACTATGTGTGTACATGATGATTGTACTTGTGTACCTGTGCCCAAATAAACTTGTTATATTACATTATGGCTGCTCTGCAGATTTACCTGGAGTCTACCTGGATTGCATTCTGGGAACCAACGCCTCCATGGTCCGGTCCATGACTAGGCCTCCTGGTGGATCAGGGCCTGATCAACCAGGCTGTTACTGCTGGCCACACATTGGAACTAATTCAAATATTATATCACTATAATAATATGTTTTTAAGTAATTCTTCAGTGTTGGCCCTGTGTATAATTAGTATATTTTTTCTCCCGCAGGGCAGAAGTTGCTCAGTAGAATGACCGTCACAACGGAACCCACCCAGTGTAGGTAAGATCTCTCTGTCTCTTGTGTAAAAGTCTGATAGTTGTCATTGGCCGACATGAAAAGATTTTTCCGTTTCTTTTTTTTTCTTTCTAATTCCTGAGACAGATCATGTTCAGTTTTTTCTCTTAAATTATACTTGACAGGATTTGCTTGAAAAAGTTTTTCTCGTCAAATCGGCTATGAATTAAAAAATATTTTGTATTAAAATAAGAATTTGTATTTTTTCACTAAACTTGGAATGTTTTTCTTACTGAAATACTGCATATGCAATGTGCTTATATTGTGCAGATAACATTTTCTTATATTTTCTATGCAAACCTTGCATAACCAGTTAAGTTGAAGCACAAGCCAAAATGTTTTCCAGTTATGAATAAATTTCTTATGCATTGAAAAGGCAAAACTTAACTGTGTATATTCCTTTGATAGGTGAAGCAGCTGCAGTTTAGTGAGGATATATCTCACTCTCTTTAGCTTCTGCACACCTTAACACTACCAAGATTTAGGTAAGAGCTTCCTTTTATTCTTAGCCTGAGATTCATTCATAATCCAGCAGATTGATGGTGACTGCTGTTCATATATATATAGGAGATTCATTCATAATCCGGCAGATTGATGGTGACTGCTGTTCATATATATATAGGAGATTCATTCATAATCCGGCAGATTGATGGTGACTGCTGTTCATATATATATAGGAGATTCATTCATAATCCGGCAGATTGATGGTGACTGCTGTTCATATATATATAGGAGATTCATTCATAATCCGGCAGATTGATGGTGACTGCTGTTCATATATATATAGGAGATTCATTCATAATCCGGCAGATTGATGGTGACTGCTGTTCATATATATATAGGAGATTCATTCATAATCCGGCAGATTGATGGTGACTGCTGTTCATATATATATATAGGAGATTCATTCATAATCCGGCAGATTGATGGTGACTACTGTTCATATATATATAGGAGATTCATTCATAATCCGGCAGATTGATGGTGACTGCTGTTCATATATACATATATAGGAGATTCATTCATAATCCGGCAGATTGATGGTGACTGCTGTTCATATATATATATAGGAGATTCATTCATAATCCGGCAGATTGATGGTGACTGCTGTTCATATATATATATAGGAGATTCATTCATAATCCGGCAGATTGATGGTGACTGCTGTTCATATATATATATAGGAGATTCATTCATAATCCGGCAGATTGATGGTGACTGCTGTTCATATATATATAGGAGATTCATTCATAATCCGGCAGATTGATGGTGACTGCTGTTCATATATATATAGGAGATTCATTCATAATCCGGCAGATTGATGGTGACTGCTGTTCATATATATATATAGGAGATTCATTCATAATCCGGCAGATTGATGGTGACTGCTGTTCATATATATATAGGAGATTCATTCATAATCCGGCAGATTGATGGTGACTGCTGTTCATATATATATAGGAGATTCATTCATAATCCGGCAGATTGATGGTGACTGCTGTTCATATATATATATAGGAGATTCATTCATAATCCGGCAGATTGATGGTGACTGCTGTTCATATATATATATAGGAGATTCATTCATAATCCGGCAGATTGATGGTGACTGCTGTTCATATATAATATATAGGAGATTCATTCATAATCCGGCAGATTGATGGTGACTGCTGTTCATATATATATATAGGAGATTCATTCATAATCCGGCAGATTGATGGTGACTGCTGTTCATATATATATATATAGGAGATTCATTCATAATCCGGCAGATTGATGGTGACTGCTGTTCATATATATATAGGAGATTCATTCATAATCCGGCAGATTGATGGTGACTGCTGTTCATATATATATATAGGAGATTCATTCATAATCCGGCAGATTGATGGTGACTGCTGTTCATATATATATAGGAGATTCATTCATAATCTGGCAGATTGATGGTGACTGCTGTTCATATATATATATATAGGAGATTCATTCATATTCCAGCAGATTGATGGTGACTGCTGTTCATATAATATAGGAGATTCATTCATAATCCGGCAGATTGATGGTGACTGCTGTTCATATATATGTAGGAGATTCGTTCATAATCCGGCAGATTGATGGTGACTGCTGTTCATATACATGTAGGAGATTCGTTCATAATCCGGCAGATTGATGGTGACTGCTAATCATGTATGACATCTAGAAAGTTTAGATAAACTTTGTCTATTTCTGATTTAAAGTTTCTAGTATTGGCTTTGAAAATGTGTTTAATTCTTTTGAACAGTGGAAATGTCAAAAGCAAAAGCAGAAGTATCCATTAAAAAATGAGATAGGTGGTAACTAATACATTTGGACATCGAAGTTAATAAGTGAAACTTATTTGTTATTGTATATTTGATGTGTGTGATGATATACTATAAATGAGCATTAGGATCTGAATCCTGCATTGTCATTAGTCCATAAACACACTTATTTTGTATAGTTCTCATTATGGAACATGGGATTAAAAAGAGTAGATGAGGGGTGGGATAGTGGAGGATGAGTTGATACGAACGACCTCAAGCTTTCCAAACAATCACCATCTCTAATTCCTTCAACACCCTTACATGTGAAAAAGAGTGGCTGACTTTCTGAATCAGTTAGTGTAGTGGATTTTGTTGTGTGTTTCTGAAGACTTATATACAGTCAAGCCCTGGATATACAGCACCTCTTCTGTGTTCTGTATTTTCATTGGCTTTCAATTGAATGGTTGTTTCACCCACTGAAAAAAATCACTGGTGGGTGGAACATAATGAACAACAGCTCGATTTGAAGCCAGTGAAAATGTGAAACATCGAAAAAGTGCTGTATATGTGGGGGTCTCTCCTTGATTTTGAATTACATTACCAATATATCTCTATGCCACAGCTGACGGTGTCGTACACAAAGGGGTGCATGGACAAGCCCCCAGGGATAGTAGGGGCTGATCGTCAGTTCCCAGTACCACAGACAGTACCTGCAGCCATGTTAGCCAGCAACAAGCGGCCGCGGCTAGACAATATTCGCCCTCCCATTCCCAATGGCCCCGGCATGCATGCGCGGCCCTTGGTGGCACTGCTCGATGGGCGAGACTGTGCCATAGAAATGCCCATCTTGAAAGATGTGGCCACTGTTGCATTCTGTGATGCGCAGTCAACCTCAGAAATCCACGAAAAAGTGAGTCGCTTTCTTTGTTGCTCCCTAGTGTTAGTATATATTGCAAATGTTATGCAGTATAGTGTGAACAATACACATAGTTTACTTATTACCTTTTGTTCATTGCTATTAATCCAGACTTGGGAGAAATATGCTGTAATAATAATAAATAAATAATTGCAGATTTACAGTTTTGTTAATATTGTATAGTTTTTAATGCATTAAGTTTTTGCAAAAGTTTCTAACTAAAATGATGTTATTCATCTTACCAGGTACTAAATGAAGCTGTTGGTGCACTCATGTGGCACACCATTACTCTTACAAAAGAGGATCTCGAAAAATTCAAGGCACTCAAAGTCATTGTTCGAATCGGCAGCGGAATCGACAATGTTGATGTCAAGGTGTGTTCACTACAGTGGTTATGTATCGTTTTTGATAACATATTCAAGGCCGGATTAAGGCATGGGCTTCAGGGCTGCAGCCCAGGGGCCTCCACCATCTGTAGAGCCTCCACTGATATTGTGGAGAAATTTGTTTCCTGCAAATTATGCAGACCAAATGTTTGAATTTTAATTGTTGTTAGCCCTGCAAAATAAATTTAACATTTCTTTAACTTTTTGCCTTTTGAAAATATCACTGGGGACCTCACAGTACTTGTAGCCCAGGGACCTCACAGTACCTGTTGCCCAGGGACCTCACAGTACCTGTTGCCCAGGGACCTCACAGTACCTGTTGCCCAGGGACCTCACAGTACCTGTAGCCCAGGGACCTCACAGTACCTGTAGCCCAGGGTCCTCACAGTACCTGTTGCCCAGGGACCTCACAGTACCTGTAGCCCAGGGACCTCACAGTACCTGTAGCCCAGGGGCCTCACAGTACCTGTAGCCCAGGGGCCTCACAGTACCTGTAGCCCAGGGGCCTACAATATCTTAATCAGGCTCTGCACATATGCAGTGATGTATTTTGTTTAGAAGTACATATTACTTTGATTTACAAGACAAGGCACATCATCTTTAATTAAGGAGACAACTTGACTTCTGAAGCAGCTGGGTGAATGAACGGAAATGCGGTGGTGTGAGTATATTCTCTGTCGACAGTTTAGCACAAGAATAAACAGTTACATACGAGTGAAGAGAAGCCTTTGACTGATATCAAGAGTTCTCCTGTCTTCCCAGTCTGGTCTGATGCTGTGGTTGCCATTGTTAGTGGTATGGCAGCATTGTTAATACCATGGCAACAAATGGTATAAGATACTGGCACGATGAATCATAGACATAAATGAAGTATAATGAGACCCTTTACTGACTACATTTTACCCACACAGTGGGCGGGCAAAATATTATCAATAAAGGATTGTATTGTAGTGCATTTGTGTCTTATTTTTCCACTGTAAATGCCATCTTGGTCATGCTTGATGATCCTTATTTGTGAAACAAAATAAGTGCATCTGGGAACAGTGTGACAACCATTATTCCCTTGGTAATAGTGAAGGGCTCTTGTTCCAAGATACTACAGCTACCTTCTCCTTCCTTGGATCAAAACTGATTACCTTCCATTCCTGAAGTGATGTCTAACCTTTATAAATATAATAACTTAATGAGCATATTTTATATTCTGTCTGTGGGTTAGAAAACATCAATTTGTATTCACCGTTTGTATAAAATCTTGGCTACAAACCTCGAACTGATTTAAGATGTAATTCTAGTGAAGGGCTCTTGATCCAAGGAATTGAAGCTATTCTCCCCATTTATCGAGCCTGATTACCCCTCATCAAATGGCTGCTATGGGTTTAGTGCCTCTTTAATAACAATAATAATTATCTCCATGGTTAAGTGGAAAAGAATTCTTCCTCCATAAGCCATGCATGTCATAAGATGTGACTAAAATGCTGGGAGAAAGGGGCTAGTAACCCCTTCTGTATAAATTACTACGTGTAAAAAGGAAAACTTGTTTTTCTTTAGGTCACCATGCCTTGGTGGGAGACAGCTAGTGCATTAAAAAAAAAATAGTTTCGAAATGCTGTAGTGTGTTTATATAAAATTATCCACCTTGTTATAGCACTTATCTATCTTCTCATTCTTCCTATGTATGTGTAAAATATTTAATATGTTATATGCAGCAATATTAATGTTGAGATGACCATCTCTTGCTTATTAAGGCATCTCAATTTTCCTCTTAAACTTACACAACTTCTGCTAAAAGTTTTAATGTCTCAAGTTTGGAAAGTTATAAAACTTGTTTCACAGCAAACAAAAACGTGAAAGTTAGACTCACAGTTAACTCGAAAAATTTCTCGAGTTGATTAAAGTTGGCACATTTTGGAAGACATTGATAAGATTATTCCCGAGATATGAGACTTAGCTATGGATCACTTTGCAAGGTATCAGGGTTGAAACTATCCATCGTCTCTGAAACTATTTAATAGAGAGATGTTCCTGGCCGTATCCAACTTCGTGTGCAGCCGAGGCAGAGTTGTCCAGGAGTTTTAGTCATTTGACGAAAGTTTGGCAGAAAGCTTCCCTAAGTTAATAACTTTTCTTTCCAAGTTGATAACTCTCTAAGTTGATTGCTGGAGTCTTCCAATAACAGAGTTTTGGGATAGTTAGAATTATTCTCTCATGATTGGCTTCCTAGTTCAGTTTTTCCGAGTTTGACGAGGTCTGGACAAAGGTGAAAAGTTTGTGATAATGTTGAGTACAGATGTGTGGGTTTGTAATTAGTGGCTAATGATGGACAATATTCTTCCTCTCATCTTCAGTAATGTTGCAGCATACACTTGTATCAGTGTTAAACTATGATTATTGTCTTTGTGGTGTGACCATTGTAGTTGCTCATTACATATTCATTATTCATAATGAAAACTTTTTCCAACTTTCTCTCTCCTTTCTTTCTCTTCCTCAGTCCTTCCTATCTTCCCTTGCAGTCAAGGGGAATGGTTGCTGTCATGCTAGTGAAAGGCTCTTTATCTAAGGACTTAGAGCGCTCACTATTTTTTAGATCAAATGTAATTACCTCCAATTCCTCAAGCACTGCTTGATGTCTATAGGTTTAGTGTTTTCCATGAGTGTATGATAATAATCATGGAGAGTTAAGGAAATAGATATATTGTAGTTTACCTGTGACTAGTATTGAGAGCTTTTCAGCTACACAGTTTTATCATGACTTTATAAAGCTCTACACAGATTTATCAAGCCTTCCTGAAGCTCTACACAGTTTTATCAAGATTTAACCAAGCTTTACACAGTTTTATCAAGACTTCATAAAGCTCTACACAGAGCTTTATCAAGCTTTGCAGCTTGATTAAGGGCAGGCTTCCTTATTGATTTCCTGGTCCACAGGCTTTCCTTTTTCACCAGGCTGGTACTGTAAGTGACCTGCTGGACCGTTAAGTCTGGCTCTTAGCGGAGGGAGTGGTCCATTTTCATCTGAAAAGATTTTTCCTTTGTTCTGGCAGTATTTTTTATATCTCCTGGCTGAAGGTTAGGATATCTTGGAATACGGATGTTGATAGAGAACAGAACTGAGAGCAATAATAATATCTTTATTTCTACATGTGCAAGGTATACAGGCCTACCTGACACTACTACAGTGGACCCCCGCATAACGATTACCTCCGAATGTGACCAATTATGTAAGTGTATTTATGTAAGTGCGTTTGTACGTGTATGTTTGGGGGTCTGAAATGGACTAATCTACTTCACGATATTTCTTATGGGAACAAATTCGGTCAGTACTGGCACCTGAACATACTTCTGGAGTGAAAAAATATCGTTAACCGGGGGTCCACTGTATATAGAAAGCCCCCTGTTATGCAGAGCATTTCTGGCAAATTGGGTCAATTTTGTCCCTGCGGTGCGACCCACACCAGTCAACTAACACCCAGGTACCTATTTTACTGATAGGTGAACACAGACAGCAGGTGTCTTAAGGAAACATGTCCTTATGTTTCCACCTGTACCGGGGATTGACCCTCGGACCTCGGTGTGTGAGCTGAGTGCGCTAGTGATTGAGCTATGTTTACAGACAGGTTTTATGGTTGTAAAAGAAGTAAATGGTGCCAGTTTACACAGAGTTAACTAAATGTGTTAACCCTTAAACTGTATTCTATTGGGACTTTGTCATTCCCTGCAATAAGTTAGTCTTGTAATTCATTTTGTATGAGGCATTCCATTATGGTTTAAAAATCAGTGAGATAAACAGTTTGAGGGACATATGGGAAGTGTACAGTTATTTGCAGATGATAACCTCAGACTGGGCTGTAATGCTGGAGAAACTCTCGAAACTTGTCAAGATTGGTCTTGGGTGTAATTATGAGATTCTGACTAAAAACTGCTGAAGTTTGTGGTGGAGTTTGCAAAAGTATTTAAAAAGGCTGAAAAATGAATAAAAACAATAAAATGGACTAGGGCCAGGATATCTAACATGCTAACTATGGAGTGTGGCCCACACATCATAGTTTGTCTAGTAATTAATTAGTATACATGAACTATGCCAGTAGAGCATACTGTTATGACTCCTGCTGAAATATCTTTATTTTTTGATAGTGAAGAAGTTATACTTTACTCTTGTAATAAAAAAATTATGCAGCTTCACAAATGTATTTCTGGCCATAGGACCCACTACCAAAAATTTTCATACCCTTGGATAAAGGTGAGAATAATTTTGAAGACCTGCCTGGGAAATGTGTGGGTTAGAGGTCAGAGTAGATGGAAGTGAATGTATTTGGAAATTTGTAAGTGGATTTATAGTCAGGGAAATTGTCTATAAGTGGGTTAGATTTTCGTATTGTGCAGGTAGTGACCAAGTCTTCATTTCTCAATGGTGCGGCTTAACAATTTATAAATGATACCACATTTACAAGAACGGTAATATTTATAACTGTAGCTATTGTCGTTTTTTTTTTTTTTTTTTTAATTTTGTTTATGAATCTCTGCCTCAGTGTGTTTTCTATTGATTACTAAGATACAGAACTCAGCAATAATGTGATGTACAGTATATATAAGGTATGCCACATTTCAAGTACAACAGTGTGTATGATTTTAGTTATTGATACAGTAGTTTGTAAATTTATTAATGCCATCAGTATTTTTACAATTGAAAAACCTAATACAGTATAATGATAAATTATAGTGTGTGTTTAGGAGATGCTTTTAGTACATTCAGTTTATGGAGTATGCCATTTGATTACAGTACAGCAGAATGAAATTCAATCATCTAAATGCTAGAAATATATACAGTACTGTATTTTTTAAAGTTAATTACATATTGATTTGTTATGTGGTAAATTATACCTTTCACTTTTATGTTTTAATATTTTGTTGCCATTTCTGTAATATCTTCTGTTTTAATGTCACATGTTGCATGTCATTGACAGGCTGCAGGAGAGTTGGGCATCGCTGTATGCAACGTTCCAGGATATGGAGTTGAAGAAGTCGCAGACACCACCATGTGCCTGATTCTAAATCTTTATCGTCGCACATACTGGTTGGCCAACATGGTTCGCGAGGGGAAGAAATTTACGGGTCCCGAGCAGGTGTGGGAGGTGTGATGATAGACTTGTGACCAACAGTAATTATGAGCCGCACATTGAGGTTCTGCCATGCCTTGACCTTCCCAGTTTTAACCGGGAAAAATTGAAGTGTGCAGAAACTTTGTTTACGGCCCATAATCACTGTTTGTCTCTCAAATGGATTTGTTAGGCATTAAGGTGACATGGTATTTTAAACGGAAATATAAGATTTTAATATGGTGTCTTAAGCTGAGGTAATACCTCACTTGGCACCATTATAATATATAGTATGGACTACTTCACATCATTAAAGTTTGTTTACCATTTTTAGAAAGAACTTACAAGATCTCTATTTACAAATAATTATTATCCAAACCAGGTTCGAGAGGCAGCTCAAGGATGTGCTCGGATACGTGACGACACACTGGGTATCGTAGGTCTCGGTGAGTACTTAAACAAAGTTCCCAGGATATAGTGTAAGTTCCCAGGATGTAGTGTAAGTTCCCAGGATATTTTGTTAGAATTAGTGAGTATTTAAGCAAAGTTCCCAGGATATAGTGTTAGAATTAGTGAGTATTTAAGCAAAGTTCCCAGGATATAGTGTTAGAATTAGTGAGTATTTAAGCAAAGTTCCCAGGATATAGTGTTAGAATTAGTGAGTATTTAAGTAAAGTTCCCAGGATATAGTGTTAGAATTAGTGAGTATTTAAGTTTCTAGGATGTAGTGTTAGAATTATGGACAGATATATGGAAGTGTTAAAGCAAAATAAACATTGAAAGAGGTTCTTTTCTTTCGAATAAGACTTAATAGTCCAATTTTTTTTTAGCCATGTTAATACCACTATGAATAGTTTTCCACTCCAGTGAGGCACTTTGATGTCCATGAAGGGTGCTTAATCCAAGGAATTGGAGCTACCCTCCCTTGGATTGTACCTGATTGTCTCTCGTGTCCCAACATGTTGTCTGACTTTTATAGGTTTAACATTTTCCTAGATAATAATATTGTATTATTAATAATAACAATAATATGGTGCAATAATACTGGGTCCAAGTCTGATAATAGTAGTTTTAATATTTCAGTAAATACTCTCATGTTATTGTGGAATTATCAAGATGGCCTTTAATTTGTCTAATATTGGAAGAAGAAACATGCTAGCACTGAAATAAGCTTGATTTATAATAGACAATATTACAGATAAATTACAATCCAGTAACTCCACACCTCCTCCTAATTTCCACACTATGAATTTTCTGCATAATATTTACACCAAGCATTGCCCTTAGGACATGTCCACTGTTTCCAGCTTCTTCCTTGCTGCAGCATTTACAACCCATGCTTCACACCCACATAAGAGTATTGGTACCACTATACTCTCTTTCTTTTCTTTGCCTCCATGGATAACATTTTTTGTCTCCAAAGATACCTCAATGCACTACTTACCCTTTGTCCTTCATCAGTTCTATGGTGACAAGTCAACTCCCAAATAACTGAAAACATTCACTTCTTCCATACTCCCTTCCTCCAATGTGATATCCAATTTTTCTTTATCTAAATCATTTGATACTCTTATCCATGTTCACTTACAACTTTCTACCTTTACACACCTTATATATAAATGTATATATAATATATATACTTGACAATTCACAAATGGGCAAACTTCTAATAAACATTCTCTCTCGATCCACAGCAGGATTCGAACCTGCACAGTGTACACTCTGTATCTTAGTACACACTACTATCACCACTCTGCCAGATCCTGGATATACTTTTTTGTTTTTAAGACGCTGGCTGTCTCCTGCTGAAGCATGGATGGTGACCCGAAAAAGAAAGACTTTCACCATCATTCACACAGCATTAATACTTGTAATTTTGTCTTTCAGGTCGCATCGGGTCAGCAGTAGCTCTAAGAGCAAAGGCATTTGGGTTCAATGTCACATTCTACGATCCTTACCTATCTGATGGTATAGAAAAGAGCCTTGGGATAACCAGAGTATATACACTACAGGTGGGTTATTGAACAAGTGTGTACGATTCCACCTTTAATATTATGACAATTAAGTTTTTTTCAGACCAAGGCAGGCTCACCCAGTTAGGAAAATACAATCGAGTCATTGTTCAGAATTCACTTTTCCATGCCAGAAATGTGAGAATTAATATTCCATAACCCAGTTTCATGATTACTGTGAAAATATAATGTTTTGTCCTAAAGTATAATAAAAATCTACTTACATTGTTAACATTGAAAATATAAGAAATGTTTTGGCTGCTTAATAATAGAATAACTAACATAACAACATTACATTCACCCATGCTGGAACTTTCACCAAAACCTTCACCTAAACATGGCAACCTTAATATACTGCATTGCTGTACCTTTATTACTAATACTGTCACCATCACTGCTGCTACCTTTACCACTATTACTGTCACCATCACCACTGCTGCTACCTTTACCACTATTACTGTCACCATCACCACTGCTGCTACCTTTACCACTATTACTGTCACCATCACCACTGCTGCTACCTTTACCACTATTACTGTCACCATCACCACTGCTGCTACCATTGTTACTATTACTGCCACTAATTCTAAGTTCATTACTACTGTTAGTAATACTATTAGTACTACTTCTAGTAGTACTAGTCAAACTTTTAATACTACCAGTGCTACTTCTAAGACTACTATTGTCACTTCCATTTTCCCCGACCTCACTACCATATCGTCTTCTCGCTTTCTCTACATTTCTTGCCCCATTTATGATTTGACAATGGTTCAGGATGGACCAAAGCATTGCCATAAGGTTTCCCTTCAAAAGTGTGAGCTTTTGGTGAAGAATTAATACAAATTTTTAACACTGTCTGTTTCCCACTGAGATAGGGTAACCCCATAAAGAGGAAAACTCACTTGCCATCATTTTAGCACTATTGTGAAAACCATGTTGACATTGCAGTTCAGATGGCCCCCTGAACTAGAACATCCTCACCCCTCCTTCAGAGGGGTGAGGATTTCCGGTTAGCCAGACTCTAGTCCTGGAGGTGGAAGTACAGTACCTGCACTCTGAAGGATGGGTGGAGATATATTACAGTTTTTGAACTGTACTGTAGGCATGCCTCTGGCAAGACAGCAGTGGAATGAGTGATGATGAAAGTGTTTCTTCTCTTTTGGGTCATCCTGTCTCGGTGGGAAATGGCAGATATGTTAATAAATAATAAAAAAAGCTGACACTCAGGAAAGAGGTCTTTAGGTCAACTTTTAGCCAATGAGAGTGCAGGATTTACACATCACCAAAGTTTTTTTAAAATCGTTTCTTTGTGAGTTTATGCATGGATTGTTTCATATGATCGTAGAGTGGGCAGTGTTAATGAAAAACCCTTGTATCCTCCTTTCACCCGTTGTTTAGTGGATTGCTGAATGCAATCCACTAAACAGTTACTTGTGCATAAACCAAGTCCTGGGCCAATTCTAGAGGTGATTTTTATTTGGAGTTTGCATATGTGTAGAAATGCAGGAGATTTAGGATTTTTATTACTGTATTTCTTGAAAAAGCTTTTTATTTCCTTTACATTTCTTCAGCCTGGGGTGAATATTTGTTTTTGCTTTATATCAGTAATCTTTCAGTGTCAGTTATCTTTCCTTTGTTACTACATATTCTGTTTTTAAGCAGTTCTGCAACTCATTTTTTCCTAAGTATACTCGTTACATTCTCTCTCAGTATTGATTTCTTTTTTGATTTTCTCAGTGGAAGATATCATATACTGACTTTTTTGCTTTTGCATTCGATTTTCCATGCACTGCTGTAGATTTAGGGTGGCTAGGACTATTCACCAGTTGTGATGGCGGCTCTGAGGCGACTTGAGCTAAAGTTCACCACAGCCATGTTGGTGGGAGATTCATCTGTAAAAAAGTTTCGTGTGTGGTCACAGTGGTGGCCCATGCTAACTTCCCTATGTTGTATAGAAATATACCTAGTTGAATGAATCTTCTTGTTGCCAGTAGGCCCAGTGATGCACTCATCACCAGTCCCCACCAGTTTTGTGGTATGTCAGACTTTTACATATAGTGGTATTGATTATTATATATGGATTATTCTTTAGTTGAAAATATTTTATAAGAGCTAGAGGGTAGATAGCACTGTACAATTCACAATTATGACTTGATTATCAACCCACTATTTAGAGTGGAAAAATTTGTTCGGTTTATAGTTGTTATAGTTCAAAGGGGACCAAAACGTTGTCTAGGGTTTCCTCTCCAATTTGTAGTTAATTGTGAATTGTTTCAGCCATGGTAGCATGATGTTTATTCTTAACTAGCTATGGGAATTGAGTATCTGTACACAAATAACTCACACTGGAGAAAAACTTACGACATTTCAATCCAACTTGAACCCATTAACTAGTTACTAGCGAGTAGCTAGTTAATGGTCCAAGTGGGACCGAAAAGTTGTCGTAAGTTTCTTTCTCCTATGTGCAGGTTATCTGTGTATTGTTCCAGTCACGATATTGTGCCTTTTTATTCTTTTCGAGCACCTGTTTGTTATTAGCAGACAGAAGATAAGAGAGACCACCACTTGTTGTGTTAAATAAATGTAATAGTAATTATAATAATGCATAAATATTCATATGATCATCTGTGTAAAGTTTCTTCTAGCCTAATAAAAATAATAATGTTTTATATATTATAAATATACAGTACTGTAGCTTTCATAGACTAATACAAATTGTTTTGTTTTAGGATCTGTTATATCGAAGTGATTGTGTATCACTTCACTGTTCTCTGAACGAGCATAACAACCACCTTATAAATGACTTCACCATTAAACAGGTAAACTGAATGTGGTATTTACTGGGATACTTATTGAAATTTTCTATGTATCTCTCCTTCCTTTTTTTCCCCTCACTCCTTACCTCCTTTTTCCCCTCACTCCCTCCCTCCCCTCACTCCCTTTTCAACCCTTCCTACCTACCTTCCCTGCCCTGTCTCCCTACCCTACCCTGTTTCCCCACTCTACCTTCGTAACCTTCCCAGTCTGCCTGCTATACCTAACTTACCTTATGTTTTTAAACCATGATCATTTAGAGCTAAAAATTGAGTTCTTTAGTAGCACATGTATGTAAATTTTGTATATTTTACTTACATAGACTAATTAAATTTTTCAAACATTAACTTAACATTGCAGATGCGCCCAGGAGCATTTTTGGTGAACACCGCTAGAGGGTCATTAGTCGATGAAAATGCCCTGGCCTCAGCACTGAAGGAAGGAAGAATCAGAGCTGCGGCACTTGATGTTCATGAAAATGAACCATACAACCCCTTCCAGGGTAATGCTTTAGCATTTAGTTCCTTGGCCCTAAAATCACTGCGTGAGTTGTCAGTGCACGGTATTGCTTAGTCATACTTTCTTTTCCTCTCCCTTAGCTCACAGGTTCAATTTTGTTCTTGCTAGATTTTGTTTTATTCCTGTCCTTTAGTCTCAAAAGGTAAGGGGGTGTCTTGATGGAGCTGAAGGTTTCGTGATCCAAGGAATTGGAACTAGCCTTCCCTTGGATCAAACCTGATTACTTGCCATTACCAGGTACTGTATGACCTTTATGGGTTCAGTACTCTCCCATTAATGTAATGATTATAATAACTTTTAATATTAATAAAATAATAGAATAATATAATAATAACAATAATTTTATTTTCAACAAACTGGCTGTATCCCACCAAGGCATGGTGACTAAAAAGAAAAACGAAAAATTTTTCCTTTTTAAATTTAGTAATTTATACAGGCGAAGGAGTACTAGCCTCTTGCTCCCGGCATTTTAGTCACCTCTAAGGACACGCATGGCTTACAGAGGGAGAATTCTTTTCCACATCCTCATGTTGTAATAATAATAATCCAGTCCCTCAGCATGCAGGTTTAATATTGTCCATGTCAGGTTTATTTTAGGATAATGTAAAGCCACGTGACTTGTCAGAGATGGAAGCACAAGTAATGGATGGAGGCTCAACCCTTCACTAGGCCTGGTGCTGAGTCACACACAGCATTATTCAAATTAATTCTTCTCCCATATATAGTATCTTGTGCTCACAGCATCTTTAAGGCAGGAGATATGAAAGCTGGCAAATGCAATGTGTGTTTACAGCCTAGACAGAATAAACGAAACATCTAAATTACTGGGAGTGGACTACTGGAAATGTGTTATAGCACTTGATATGTACACTCTGGGATGATGAAAAGATATATACCTGGTAACCTGGAAAATACCTCCCTAAAATGAAAATTTTTCATTTTTCTTTTTAGGTTACCCTGCCTTGGTGGGATACAGCCAGTGTGTTGAAAAAACAAAAATGAGGCAGCAAGTGCAGTACTTCTCAACTTCACAACAATTAATAAAAAATTGATGCATAATTAATCCATCTATATATCTACTTGTTTAAAGCAAATAATTGTTTTTTATTTCAGTATTGAGAAAGTATACTTAGAAGATAGTTAAATGATTCTTTTGTTTTCATCACAGGACCTCTGAAGGATGCACCAAACCTCATTTGTACTCCACATGCAGCTTATTATTCTGATGCCTCTAGCAATGAACTAAGAGAAATGGCTGCTAGTGAAATACGCCGTGCAATAATAGGCCGCATACCTGAAGCTTTACGCAACTGTGTTAATAAAGAGTACTTCATGAGCAACTACAGCGAAGGTGGAGTTAATGGCACTGCCCCATATTATGTGCCAGTTCACTCTACAACACATGACTCCGTGCCCAGTGGTCCCCCTCCTACTAGTCATGTAGGGGCTGGAATACCACCACCTCCACACATGCCACCTAATGTCCCAGTCAGTGGAAGAGCTTCTCCTCAGACTGGGCCTCCTGGCCCGCCTGGACCTAGGGACTCCACTTCCCCATAACACATACTGCCTCCACCTTTATTACAACTACCAACCCTCCGCAGTGAGTATTGACTTTTTCCACACAAACTACACAAAAGTACAAATTGTGCATATGCATCAATTGGTATCTGCCATTGCTGACATTAAGGGCAAACTCAGTACTGTATTTGAAATTTTGCTGAAAAAACAAGCCTTAAAATACTTATTTTGTATTGAAATTATTGTAATACATCCTAAACAAATTAAAAAAAATAGTTTTATTAATATTTTTGAAGTTCTGTTGGGTAAATAGTGTTTTGAGGTTTTTTCTTAGCTAGCAAAGCCTTGGATGGTTTGTGTGAAGGTGGGTGGAGTGTTGTTAGTTAAGAACTAAAAGGATGTAGTTGCTACATAAATGCATAAAAGTGATGGCATACCTGGAGGGTGTTTCAGGCCTTGCGGTGGATCAGGGCCTGATCAACCAGGCTATTACTGTTGGTGGTTATGTTATTGATTCTCTTTGAAGGGGGTACCTGATGCAAGTGAAGGGCAGTTGATCCAAGGATTTTTAGCCGTTCTCCCCTTTTTAGAATCAAACTTGATAACCCCACTTGTCATTTCCTGGACACTGCAGAACCCTTAGGGGATTCGCATTTTCTGCTGAATATAATATATTGTTTATACGTAACAAAGTGTAAGGTAGGGCTATACTCTCGGAGATTGCTGTAGGTAAATCAATGGATGCAGTATGTTACATGGTTATAGGAACCTCATTTCTTTAGGATGTTAACTAGGGATGTGTCAGAGTAGAGGTATTGGCCTAAAATTAATTACAAGTATCGGTGAGTATGAACTAATTTTGATGGTATCAGTCTAAAATTGAATATAGGTTATTGGTATCAGCACAGTTTTTGGTATCATCCTGTACTTAATGTTAACAAGGAAACTGTTGTAAAGGGAGGTCATCTGTGCAGTTTGAGAGCTGCTAGCAGAAACAGCCTGTTCACCCAGGTAGTCAACAGGAAAGCCTGATCGAAGGCTGGGGTACAAGAATAGAAGCCTCCTAAACCAGTCACAGGTATGTTGGAAGGCTTCAGTGTAGGGTAGATACAAGAGATTGTCAAGTACAGTTCATTTAGATTAATGGAGAAGGGATAAAGTATGGTGACACACAACTGGGGGCCTTGAAATGTAGTGTTTGGAGTGGCTAGGTGATCACACACGGCTCCTGTCTGGAAGGTCAAACCTTCAGTTTCTGGGAGGAGAATCAGGCCTAAGGATTTTTTGCAATTACAGTTATGCAATTTTATGCCTCTCCATGGGGAAGTGGAACAGAGTTCTTCCTCTGTAAGCCATGAGTGTCATAAGAGGCAACTAAAATGCCAGGAGCAAGAGGCTAGTAACCCCGTTCTCCTGTATATATTACTAAATTTAAAAGGAGAAACTTAATGACAGTTGCAAATTGAGAAACAGTGGAGTCAAAGGGATACTGGAAATTTTTTCTTAGCAAACAGTGTGGTAGAATAATATATTGAAATAAGAATTCTGCTTCAACCACAGGAGACTTAAACTATATTTCTAAATAATTACTGAAGAGATACTACAATCATAGCTGTGCTCCTGTAGCTACAAATGGGTTACTACAGTCTGATAGGCATATTAGGCAAGTAGTGGTTCTCCAGTTCCTTCTTGAATACATCTGCTTTGCTAGACTAGTTTGTGGAACACTTGGGTCTTCTATTATTATTATTATAATCAAAAAGAAGCGCTAAGCCACAAGGGCTATACAGCGCTGCAGGGTAGGGAAGGAAGCAAGGGAATTGGATGGCAGAAGGGAGTGGGGATGATCAGCAGGTTGGGTCTTCTATAAAGCTTCCCCATTCTAGAACTAGGATCATTAGATGGCTCTAGTTTTGTTCTTCATCTCATCAATAAACTTTTTTGAAGTCAAGGTGCCTTGATGCTGGTGAATAACCTAGGAACTCCCTACCTTAGGTCCAGTTCCTTGGATGAAGAACCCTTCACTAGTATTAAGGCAGCCCCTTGAAAGGGTTACATTTTTATGAAAACATTGTGTAACCATTACCTAATTTTTATTCTTTACTGTAGGTGGGCTACAAGCCAGGATTCATTCCACCATGAAAGCTGAGTCACCTTAATCGCAGATGGCTGCTACACAGATTGGGTGAATTGACACCCATAGGTCGTGCAAAAGTCTATGTACAAATATGCCCTCCTTCCCCACCCACCTTACGTTCCTTGGTGTTTTAAGGAGTCTCTCTCACCTCGTAAAGTGCAATGGACGCTGTTAATTGAGGTTGTGAAAGTGAGAGACTGATAAGTCTTTAGCACGAGACTATGTACTGCCCAGGTGTTGCAAAGTCATTGATAAAAACATGGCACTGCTTATTCATTTTTTATTTTACTTTATTTTTCCAGTTACTATAGATAAAGGGGCCATATTAGCTATAACAGGGAAAACTCCTGTAATAGGGCAAGATAGTGTAACTCAGGTTCCAATCCTCTATAATGTATGTATTGAAAATATTCAATCCTAAAATGGAGAGATTTTTAGGTATTAGGCTTCCCAGCTCGGAAGATAAATGGGTTTAAACATCAGTGTCGTTCTCTTGTGGATATATAAAGAAAAAGTATTATCTAAGTAACCAGATTACTTAGTTCTCTTTTCTGGAAATGCTGTGTATGTATGTTTTTGTTTAAACAAATGTGAAACTTAAAAAAAAAAATCATACAAGTTTACCTGGCAGATGAAAGATACCTTAGAGGTATCTTCCTCTTTATGGTCAGGAAACCTTGTAATACCCATCATATACTGTGTGTGTGTATGTATTTATATATGTATATGCATATATATATACACACATGATGGCAGTCATTATGAAAAAACTGTAAACCAAAACGTTTACAATAATTTGATATTGTACATTTTTTTCAATCCAGGATAGATTGTTAGTCCTAAGGGAAATTTTTTTATAATTTGCATTTTTTGTGATTTTTTATATCAGTTTGATTATTTTGTTTCATAGAAGGACAAAATACAAATGTGAGAGCATCAGGCCTGGATGCTAAGGTACAATTATGTTCAGATCGTGTCCAGGGTTGATATTCTACCAGTTTCAGTAAGCACTAAAGAATACAGATGCCTATATTTACAGAAGGTAAAATAAATACAGGAAGTCCCTGACTTAGGAACACTAAGTTATGATCCACACTTATGGACTAGGTTCTAAAAACGTTGAGATGATTGTTTCATGAATAATGCATAATTAACCTGTGTACTATCTTTACTGTAGGATTATGTTCAGGGTTACAAATAACTTTTTCAAAATTTAATCACCGGGAACACAACCTGTTGGTAAGATGGGGACTCCCTTTATTAGATTTTATATGCTAGTTAGCAGTATCACTACTTGAGCTTGGTTTGCAACAGTGAAGAGCATGAACGACAACAGGATATTATAAATAACAAAAAGGCACAATACCGTGACTGGAACAATACACAGATAACCCGCACATAGGAGAGAGAGGAGCTTACGATGACGTTTCGGTCTGACTTGGACCATTTACAGGCACACTGTGGCTTTGTAAATGGTCCAAGTCGGACTGAAATGTCATCGTAAGCTCCTCTCCTATGTGCGGGTTATTTGTGTAACAGGATATTATCATTGTTAAGTAATTATAAAGGGGGAGAGGTCAACATTTGAGTTTTCTCAGTATTGTTGTCTTGTCGTACAATAAGTAGCACCCAACTCTGTTATTTGTTACAGGTACATTTTTTCAGTAAAGTTGTTAAGTAAAAGGTCATTAGTGCAGTCATCCCCAAACAGGTGGTACCTCACTGATGTTAGACATTTCCATGAGTAACTTGATTCAAAAGCGTACAGTTTCTAAACTTTTTTGACCAGTGCCAAGTCCTGAAACTTGTAGTCATTTTATCTGGCAGTAGCGAGTTGGACGCCTTAAAATCAAAGGACTTTATGTATATAGTAATACTAAAGTGAGTCATCAACAGATAGTGTGGTAACTGGCCATCTGGCAAATACTCAGTTCATTGTTATGAGAGTTGAGCAGGAATAGTGTGCTATAAAATTACTAATTAATTAGTATTATAGCAACCAGAGAGTGAGTTTCATCAGTTGCTCCAGAAGGTTATGTTGTACTATACAACTCTGGTACAAAATGGACCTTATTAAAATATATGTAGTCATTGAAGTAACTCAGAAGAAAGGAAATGGAGCTCCAAGCATTTGTCTACATTAATAATGTCAGGAGAAATGGCACAAAATTGGGTAGCGGGTAATACATTTTTGTTTCATTTTTCCATAAAATGTTTTGAAATACAAATAAACGCTTTGAGCTTCACCTTTAATTTTCCTGTGGGTTACTTGAATTCCTTCCACCATGGTACCATTGTGATTATACGAAATATGTATACATGTATATGTATAACTAAAGCCAATCTTTTTGTGATTCTCTCCAAAAGTCATGTTCCTAACTGAACCTCCACAGGAATATTGTGCATATGTAAAGATTTTGTAAAAAAAAAAAATTAGTTCCTACATCTTAGATATCAATAAAAGACACATTGGTTGTTGCCATCTAGTTAACCTCTGTTTGTTGGGTTGTCAACAGTGTTTGAGCTGAAATTTTGTCGTAAAAAAAAAAAGTGATGCCCGTTGGTGTAAAATTAATTGGATGTAGTAAAGTTGCAAGGTGTGTGTTCATAAGACATTAGCACCAGTGGTCAGTGTTATACCGGAGGATACCAGAATCACAGAAACTGAGCAGCATGGTGAAATCTCTCTCTTTGTTGCAAACAGCTGTTGACACACCTGTCCAGAAAATCTCAAAAATTCATTATAAAAAATAAAATGCAGCTGCCGGTTGAGTATACTCCAAGGTAAGCAGCAATATTTCCCTGTCCAATACTTCATTATTTCTGATCTTTTGCTACAGTTTTTTTAATACAGTATTACCATTTACTTGAAGATGCCATCTGAAACTGCTACTCAACTGTTCTGAAACCTAAGTTTTTTAAATTAGGATGTAGGAAGAAAACTGAAGATATGATCTTCCACCTTATTTGAAAATAAATT